ACCCATTTATCTCTTTAAATACATTTTTTTCCTTAGGAAGGTATACTCAAAACTTAGGTGCTTAATAAATTCTTGTTAAATAAAGTATAGAGTAAAAATGTCCAACTACAAAATTTTATCATTGCATTAAATATAATTACTGATTCCAGTAAGTGAGATTTTTCTGAGAGCTATCAAAGATAGTTTCCGAAAGAATTTTTTCTTGGTTCTGTATACATCAAAATACGTATTTGCCTATGCTCAGATAGTGATTTAGTGCTCACAGTTCAGATTTAGACAGGGCTTTAGGTTGTGATGATTTAAGTGAAAGGTTCAGGGTTAAATGGAGTAACTGTAAATGTTTGGTCATATTGCATTATATAAATATCTTAAATTAGTACTTTTCCTAAGTGGTTTAAAAGATACAGTAAGTTAATTTTATGTATTTAGGGAAATTTTGCTGGACTGTTTGTTAGCTCTGCACATACAGTATTTTTAACTAGAGAAAAATCATCTCCATCTATTTTTTAGCTCCTAGGAGTTACAATACAACACATTAAGGTTTATAGTAAAACAACATATAGAAGTTAGTAAATGGATGAGGCACATGTATTTGGGGAATATTAAGTTATATATACTTTGTAATTCGTTTTATGAGAGCCTCTGACTAAAAGCATCACACACAAAAAATTGATTAGCCCACGGAATTCTAACCATATAGGGGTAGGTTAAAAAATAACAGTATTGGGCGCTCAGTTTGATTATTCAGGTAAGTGTATCCAGACTTCGCTTTTCCATTTGTCCCTTGGCTATTTCCTTGTTCTTTAGCATGGAAATAGAAAATCCTGATGAATCCCTTTAAAACCCATTAACTGATTCATAAAATTTTTGTGAGAGGCATTAGTAAAATTTTACAAAAGGGTTTTGGATTTATCTGTGCATTTTATTTGTCCACATTGTTCTTGCTTTATCACTGAGAAGTAGGCATTAGCTCAGGATAATAACTGGAACCATCTGACTACTGTTACTGATAGACTAAAACCATTTACCATTTCATAAAGTTTTCAAGGAAACTTTAGGAGCGATACTTTTCTTTACATTTTTATTTCTTGAGAAAAGTTACTGTCCACTGGAAGATTTAGTCATCTTTGGATGCTTTCCACAGAAAGTGTGTTTTCCTCTACATATGAATGAAGAATGAAGCAGCATTATGAATAAGGCACACATTTTAGGCATCTAAGACTGGCTGTGTTCAAAGGAGCAAGCAGCACCAGTTTGCTTTGAACCCCTTCTGTAACACCAGGGCTTATAGGCTCCAGATTTCTTGGCACTGAAAAAAGAAGTTCAAATAGCTAATTGAGGGTTTTCCCCTCAAGATTCTTGTCATAGTAGTGAAGTCTGAATGCTTGTGAGAAGATTTGGTTGACTTTGCAAAAGTGATGAGCCCAGCATCTCTCTGGGGGCCACATAATTAACTTAGTCATTTGGGCTCTGAAGGCATTGTGTGAATTGGGAAGCCTACACTATGCTATCAGAAAGACATTGAGATTGGCTTCTATCACTCTCCATACTCGAGGTGGGAGAATAGGCTACATTTTGCCAATTCCAGATCAGAGCCAGTCTTTGAGCTTTGACACTGCACCATCATGACCTTCTATGAGGGTAGCTGAACTCAGCAGATAGATTATAAATTAATAGCTACAAGTTTAGGATGTGTAGTGTGTGGGGAAGGGAAATTGTTTTTCACAAACATTTGTCTTCATGGCCCTCGCTTACATTAATAACTACAATGTGATCTTGACATGAGGAAGAATAATTTATAAATGTCCTTTCTGGTAGTGAGCAGGTACTATAGTAGGCATTTTGAGGTGGTTTGTTATTGCAAGTACTGTTCTTGGGGTTATTTATTAAACTTTGAGTTAATGGCTTTGAAGATATCTTTGAAGAAAGAAATCACATTTATGAGTATGGATTTTGATACACTGGGTTTCTGATGTCTGTGATGAGTAAAGGACATGAAGTGCCAATTCACATGGACTCTTGGAGCCTGTCACTTAGCATGTTGAAAGTTTTTTTTCCTAAGTCTAGTAGCTGGTGAAGGGAAGATATATTTTTATCAGCAAGTTTACACAAAGCAGAGGCAAGTGCTACTAGAAGCCTTTGGCATGGCACCAGCCTCCTAAATTCCATGTTTAACGCTATAGAATCCATTCTTCACAAAGCAGCTAAAATAATTTCTAGTAAATTGGATGATGTCATTCCTCTACTTAGAACTTGTATAGCTTCCCACTGTGCTGAAAGTAAAATCCAAGCTTCTTAAGAGATAGTTGGCTTTCTGCCTCTCTTCTTTCGTAGTACTCTATCTTCTAGCCTGTAGACTTTCTTTTTGTGCCTTCTAAAATGTCAAGCTTGTTCCTGTCTCGTATCTTTTGGAATTATAATTTCTTCCCTATAGTTCACTTCCCCAGATTGTTCCAATGGTTGGCTTATCCTCTGGACCAGACACATCCCGTTTATTTACTCCATGGCTCTAATTCTTTGTTTATTGGTATGACTTCCTTACCAGACTAAGCTCCTTGAAATCAAGACATTTGGGTGTCAACAGTTAAGGGAAGGAGAAAATGGGGAAGAAGAGAGGCCCTAAGGAATCTGAACATTTCTGATTGAGAGGAAGCCATCATCAAGGAAGTTCCCATTGGAAAGCAGGGATCTTATAAACAGGATTTTTGAGGGTGGCAAGAAGGGCAAAGGCAACTTTCTGATAAGCTTTGTCACTAACCAGTACCGCAGATGATACCCACTGTCCTCATCCTTCCCTTCACCTAGGAGTGTGGCAGACCAGAGTTCCTGTATGTGAACTTTGAAAACAAGGACATACAGTGGATACATGTTGTTTTTGTCTGCCTAGTACCCTGTCTTTTTTGTAGTAATAACTTCCACTGGATTATGAGACAGCTGGACCAACTGTAGTACCTCACTCCCTTTCTAAAGCAGTGTGGCTCTCAAACTTCAATGTGCATCAGATCCACCTGGAGAGCTTGTTAAAATTTAGATTATCTGGTCTCACCCCTACAGTCTGGGTGGGGTCTGATAATTTGCATTTCTAACAAATTCCCTGATGATCTAATGCTGATCTGGGGAAACACTGGTCTAAGGGATGGACATTTGAACCAAGTTAGACCAATCAGGGTTCTTATCTGAGATTTTTCATACTGGAGGTAGGAAAAGCAGCCCGTTTCCCCTGGTCACAAAGCTGTGAGGATGTGAGGTCTGAACTGCCATATACCCCTGCCATTCAGAAAAACCAGTTAAAGAGAATCAATTGAACACAGGAGCAAATCCGAGAGATGGGGAAGTGCTAGAGGCTTGATTCAGTCATCCCCTAGGCCAAACTCACCACTGCCTTCCCACAGTGTATGTGGCCCAATGCATTTGCCACCTTAATGGACTAAGGGCTATGCTAGCTGTTGTCATGATTTCTTGATTTTTTTCTCAGCAATCCTGGGAAGCAGTTGGCATTAGCCCCGTTTTATGGAAGTGTAAACTGATTTTCTCATTATTCCAACTAAATTTGAATTTAGTCTGTGCTTTTCCCCTACTCCCCCATTTAATGAATAGAACTTAAAGTTGGTTTTTTTAGTAGGTCAAGCTTTTCTCTTACTGTGAATTTGCTCACAACCTCTCTCTTCCCATAGATATCTGAAAGCTGTAGTACAGGAGTGACAGATTTCTGGCCCATGGACCACTTTGACCCAGAGATGTGATGTTGCCAAACTTAAAATTGAGTGCCTTTAGCATATGTGTCCCAGTTTTCAAATGTTCCTACCTCTTACTGTCTTATACCAAACCTCTTCTAGCATATGGTTTGCTACCCCTCAAGCCTCAGCCCAGGCCTGATCCTCTGCATCTGTTCAAGCCTCACTTGTCTCCAGAATAGCTGACCAGACTCTACCTGTCCATCTGGGGATTGGATCATGCCTTGTCCTCCAATATCCCTTGATGGCTATGAGCAAATGCTGTTGCTTAAGGTTTGCCTTTTTTCCCCATTTTGGCTTTGTCCAAGTTAGACCCTGTCCTACCTCATGAAGCCAAGTGGCCTGGGGGAACTGCCACACAGACATGTGCTCTGTGTTCCAAGCCAAGGATTTCTAGTGTTTGAGTTTTTAGTCAGTACCCTAACAGTGGCCCAAGTCCCTATAAGTCAGACCCACCTTTAAGCTGATCGTTTAAACTCAACCAGCAGTTAAGCAAAGCTGGACTTTATGCTGCATAGTAACTGTGTGGTCTTAGGCAAGTTATTTAACCTGGTTCCGTTTTCTCATCTGTAAAATGGCAATACTAGTCCCTACTTCATAATGTGGTTATGTGGATTAGAACCATGTGAAGTGCTTAGACTAGCAACTAGTAAATAACGAGCACTTGATATTAATTCTTCCACCCAGAGCATATAGTGTCTGGTGTTTAGAAGTGTTTGTTAATGATGTGAAGAAAAACAGGACAACCCAGTTCAGTCATTCGTGAGGTGTTAGCTGTGATGTGTCTGATTAAACTTGAATGTCAACTTTAAGAAGTCCATAGTGACCTTCAGTAATTGTGTGTCTTCCCAAAGGAAGGACTCTATTTTGTCACTTGACAGCTGACTTTATACAGTGGAAGCAATTCATAGGTTGCTAATTTAGAGATGAATTTTTCAAGCCCCCAAATGAGGCTGCTTGTTTGTGGACTCACCCTGTTGGGCAGTAATGAACTTTGCACCAGGTTTCCCACGAGCTGTGCTAACCCATACAGAAAGGCCCTTTCCAACACTGAGAAGCTGCAGCGGGGCACGGGGGTGAGAAGTTCCCATTTGCTATGTGGTTTTCAGAACCCAGGCACCTCTCATTTATTACTGCATTAGTGTGATAGTGCTAAGGACATAAGGAAACAGTTGTTGAAAGATACCCTGTTAAGCTTTAATTTTGAAGCAAATGGAGAAGTTGTCCATTCTTCATCATTTTAGAATAAACAAACTTGGGAGTAACTTCAGAAAAAAGTGCCTTTGGATTTTATTTGTTGAATGATTCTAGTACTCACAGACCAGGGCTTTCTAAAACTCCTGGTGCTGTTCATTTGCTGGGAATCGCCCACCTGGACCTCAGCCAAGTCTTGGGTTGGCGTCCTGGCTTTCTGCTGTGAACGACGGTAGAGGTCTTGGAAACACTGCCATTCTGACTTGAAAGATAAGGAACAGGGAATCCTGCCAACACATGGGAGAGCTGATAGGGTGCAGCACACTGCTGACAACCACCCAGCCGGCCCAGGGCCTGTGACCGGAGAGAGGCGGAGGTAGACTTTCCGTTGTCAAGGGCCTATTCAGGTCATGTTACACAGTCGCTTCTAACTAACACATGAGTTCCTCTGTGTGGCACAGGATGCAGACTTGCCCCAAATGAGGATTATTTGCTCTCTGGGTATCCTGGGCTTCTGCCGAGACCCCTGATTGAAGAAGCCTATCATTTCTAGTTGAGTAGGTTAGGGACACAAGGCTTTGGCAAAAAGTAAGGAGTTATATATCTGTTGCCTCATTTTGGAGATGAAAACCCACCAACAGACTTTACCAGAGTTAGAATCAGAACTGTTGACAGCAGGAAAGAGTAGTCTAAATTACTAATTTTTAGAGGGTCTGACTTTTCCAAGGTTACTCTGAAAATCAGTAGCAAAACAGGGACTGGAATTCAAGTCTCATTTCTAGGCCAAAACTCTCCACCTGACCAGCTGCTTGTGCAGGGCAGATGTGCCTGAAGTCTGTAAGAGAAGTAACCAGAAATGGCTGAAAGAAGACAGTGAGAAGCCTGTAGCAGAATTCTCACCTTCACAGGCCTCTGCACGAGGATATGGCGTCAGACACCCAACATGTTCACCCTCTACCCACCTTCACATACATGCTTTTCATAGACTATCTCAAGCTGCAGATGGGATAAAGGAGACAAAATTCACTGATTTCTCTTATCAGCCAGACTGCAGCCAAGGCAGCAGACAGAGGTAAAGGTGACATAGGCTAATTAATGAAGCCCAGCAAGAAATCAGCCACAAACAGGGATAAGGAAACCGGTTATCTGGCATAAATTTTAAAGTACAAGCAAAAGCACCAAAAATAAATGTTGAAATAAAAGCTTTTTTTATAAGCTATTTTGCAAATTATATTTGGTATCTTACGACTGGTGCTGCTTTTATATAGCAGTAGGTAGGGTTCTAAAATGTGGGGAGCTGCTAGAGGCAATCCTCTCGGCAGCCTGGCTCTTGTCACCTTCTCACCCCTGCCCTGCCCAGCAACCTAGAAGCAGGCTGGTCTCCCAGCACCCAGGCTTTCAAGGAGACTGAGCTTGCAAAGGGCTGATCTGTGGAGAGTATTCTTTTGTCTAGTTCTAACGAAATGAAAAAAATTTTCCATAGCATTTCTGCTCTGACAGTACTAAATGCAAAGGAGGACCTTGAATGAGGGTTTTCTGCTTTGTTTTCTTTCCCTAATGAGAACGTGCCTTACCTAAAGCCCATTGCTTCATTCACTGTCAGTCAGACGAAGCTAGCTGACTGTATATTAATAGATAACCCACCCAGCCACTGGCAGATGCTCAGAAGTGTTTGCTAAATACAGCAATGCTGGCAGATTGGAAAAGTTGTCTGTGGTCTTCCCTTACAGAAACTGCCTTCATGTATTTGGAGAGTCACATGTTCACACATGAGTATCTTTACTGTGTCCATGATTTTTCTAGGGAAATGGTTAAATTGGAATATGCTATCATGACATTGTGAATGGTAAAACCTGGTGTTGGTCACTGAACTTGAACAGTCCCAGAGGTTGCAAATGCAGATGCTTTTAGGGACGAGAAAGTGTTCAAAGTAGTTTCTACTCAGCTCCAACTGATTGTTGCCTTGCTGCTTTATGGTAATGAGGCCCAATGTTGCCAGATCTTTTTTTTTTAAATAAGAGCCTAGAAACCAGATTTATTTGTGAAATCTCCCCACTTTAAAATGTTAACTTTCTGTAAGTTTTTTAGAATATCATGTCTAAATAAAACATACCTGGGCCATATGATTTCTGATCCAAACTTTTTCCCATGCCTAAGAATTCAAGCAACACATATTTTACTGAAATAGATGTTGCATGATCTCTTTTAAGTATATAAGTTTTATTACTTAAATATCTATTTTCTCTTAACTGAAAAAAATTAAACATATAAAATAGCCAAGAATTACTATTCTGTTTCTAAGAAAAATGCTTTCAGTAAATAAATGTACCTCGGAGTGAAGTACAGAAGATTCTATAAATTATTCCCAAAGGTTTCAGTCTGAGAAACACTGCCCCCCACCCCCCCAACTTCTTGGCACAGAAAGCCATATAGCTCCCCTTCTGTCAGGCCTCGGCATCCCCATTCCTTACTGATAGAGATGGATTATTTTTGCTAAAGATGAACTCAAGTGAAAATTATCTCACTAAAAAGATGTTTGATTTTTTTAAAACTGGACAGATACAAAGGGAGTTAAAATGTAAGAAGTAAGATAGTGTGTGTCTACGTGCAACCCCAGAAGCCTTGAAGCCTGAGGTACAGACCATCCTTGGAGTCCTTCCAGCCCTGGAAGCTGAGACCTTGCTGAAGTTTGAAAAGCAGTTTGGTCTTTGGCAGCATACAGATTTACCTCCCAATCAGTATGGGTTAAAGCAAAGATTTACAGGTGGGTGGTTGGTGGTTTTTTGAAAAGCCAACTATGATCCCATCATTGTATTTCTAAGTAAAATGTAAACTGTTCATACATTCTCTTAAGCATCACAGTGAAAAACAAGTACCCGTATATGTGATAGGGCAGGCAGAGGGCTCCACCTGCTCTGTCCTTGGCAAAGGACCTTGGCCACACTGGTGAAAACGCCGGCTTGGCTTCATTACGGATACTCTCATGTTGTGCCATCCCATTGGAGCACCAGTGGACCCCAAAGGCAGGGCAGGGGGTGGGGATCAGTTTTGAAATGTTTCCAGCAGCTCTGTCCAGCTGTCTGTCTTCTAGCTTGGGAGTGCGGCACCAAGCTACAAGGACGCTGATGAGACCACGGCTCTGTTGCTGTTCTCTAGAGAAGACTTGGCTTGGAGTGTAGCTGCCTGGATTCGGAAATGTGTCCTTGACTCCATGGAATAATTCTTGTAGTTTTGCCTGGAAGAGACCAGAGAATCAGACACATGAAGCTGCTCCAGGAAGTGCTTTTTCTTCAGCCTGAGCTGTGGGAGCCCACCAGCCGAGGAAGAGTTGTAGAGGCCTAAATCTCATCTATCTAGCGCAAGTTGGGCCTGCCCAATAGGGATTAGCAGAAAGGGGGTACAGCCCCTCACCCAGATATCATGCCCTCTGTTACCACTCTTGGTCCTGATGGGTCCCCAAGCTTGAGGCCGGGCTGGAAGGCAGGAGACAGGTCTTCACACAGCCCTGGGGCTGACCTGTGTGTGACCCTGGGTAACTCGCTTCCTGCTTCTGGGATTCTAATTCCTCATCGGTTAATTGAAGAGGAAGCCTTCCCACACTAGGTGAGAGCTGGGTTCCCAGGGACATGGGTGCCTCTGGACTGCCCTACTGCGCTTGCCAGCACCCTCCCTCACTGATGCCTGAGCTTTCTGTCCCAGCCAGGGTGAAGCTCCTGACCTCATGAGGAGCAAAGGACTCGTCAAGGTTAATCAAACCTTACTTGGCAGTTTCCAAGAGTTTGACAGCCTCTTCGTTTCTGCCTTGCTCCATAAACAGCAGGGCCAGCTCCAGCAGGGCATTGGGGATCAAGTAGTGGTCATATTTAATCTTCTTTTCACTGTGGGACAGAGGAGGACATGGCTTACAGGCTCTGCCCTTGAGACATCCTTCAGGCTTCTCCTGGGCCTTCCCCAAATGGGAGGATCCAATACATGCCCTCAAGTGGGGTTTCTAGCTCTGAATTCCAATTTGGGAAGGTTCCCACTACCTAGCCCTAAAAAAGCTTAGGATCCACAGCAGAGCCTTCCAGGTCTCTGCACCTGGGACCCAACTCCCTAACAACCTATGGGGCTTATGTCATAGCCACTCCCACCTCAGTCCCCAACTCCCTTTTTCCAGGTTGAATGATTTATTATATTGGGAAGTGTCCTTTCTCCAACCTGGCCCCTCTAACCTACCCATCATGCTGCCCCAGAACCTTCTTTTTAGAACCCAGATCTGCCCTTCCTAGTATCCTTTCTGGCTCTTTCCTGTCTACAGGATAAAGTTCAGCCTTGTAAGCAAAATAGCCAGGCTCTTCTCAGGCTAGCCCCCTGCCCCCTTATTTCATTTGCAACTCTTTCCCTCTATGAATTTCACCCAGGTTGGGAAAGCCTAATCACTATCCCTCCAGCCTCAGGCGTCTCTGTCCCCAAGCATTTGCACATGCTGTACCTGCTCCACTTAAAAACTCCTCCTCCATTGCTCTCTCTGCCTGATAAATTTCACACTTTAAAAGGCATCCTTGGAAAGCCTTTCCCGGTATCTTGCATTAGGTTTATGTCCCTCCTCAGGACACCTGCTGTCTCCTCTGCTTCCCTCAGCCACAGCCCTGATCACACCAGATGGAGTTGTCTGTAGCTGTCTATCTGTAACATTTGTGATCCCCAGGGGCAAGGGCAGAGTTGGTGAATTACAAAATCAGGGGCACATTTCACATGAAACTCAGTGTGGATGGGCTCCTGTAGCTGAGCAATCTGGTGGCCCTACAGGATGAGGTCTGAATGATCTGTGCCCAGCAGGGGCCCTGGCACAGAGCAGACACTAGTACACACATAGTGCATAGGGGGAGGCTAGGGCCAGGCACTGGAGTGCACAGGAGGGAGGAGAAGCCCTGCAAATTCTACCCAGGAGAACCGGGCCCAGCAGTAGGCCTTCTGGATCGGGAGCAGCCACAGAGGCACTTACTTGGCAGGGATGCTCCTGAAATTCTCCTCAGCCTCCTGGACACGGCCCAGGTATTTCAGACACAGGCCTTTCAGCAGCTTCACCAAGCACGCATCATCCACCGAGTACTCATTCTCTGAGAACAGGACAGTGAGAGAAGGAAACAGGCGTGTTCGTTTCTGCAAGTTACTCATGGGCTCCCTACTCTGTGCTGGGCCCTGGGGACACAGAGGTGGCTCACACATGATCCCTGTCCTCGGGGAGCTCACATCTGGGAAGGAAAGACGTACTGAGACGATGACAATACAGTAAAGTCAAGGCTGACTGAAGGAAGCTCAGGGGCTGTGGGAGCCCATCAGAGGCCTTGACTCTACCTAGGGGATAAGAGACGGCTTGGAGGAGCTGTCGTCGAAACTGTCTAGAAAGGCAAAGGTCAGTTACCAGGGTAGAGAAGGAAGGAAGGACATTTTTGGTGGAGGGAAACGTCAAAGGAAAGTCCTGTGGTCTGACCCAGCCTGGCAGGTTCCAGGGCCTGGGGTAGTCACCTGGGCCCTTTTCCAGCATCTCTTCAGCCTTGGTGATAATCTCAAGTATCCCGTCTGTGAGTTCTGGCTGCTTCCCAATCACAGCGTAGCCATTCCAAATGTACATCATTTCCTGAGGGTAGGGGAGCAAGTCAGTCCTAGGTTTCCTCAACGGGGCTTCAGTTTCCCCATCTGTAAAACGGGCAACTCAGATCAGAGGATCACTAAAGGCCCTTCTAAGCTTCAAAATATTGGGGAAATAATTTACCTCAGCATTTCAGGATTTCCAGTAGAGTTTAAGACTGTGTCACCTCTCCTGTTCCCAAGGCACTCGGCTTGAGTTAACATCATGAAAACTATGAAACACATCCTGATTCCTTTTTCTGCCTTGACTGCTAGGATGCTCAGAACACTAACATGTTCATTCATAGCAATTGTATTAGCTTAGGTTAGCATTTTCTAAACTCTCAAACCAAGTAATAGATGTGAAAGTGATTTGTATACATAAAGTTCTAGAAATACAATGTTATGGTTCTTATTATGTTCTGGGGAGGGAATTTAAGTTTAGACCAGTATTTCTGAAAATCAGATGGTCCCAAGTTAGCAAATGTCCCATTTTTAAAAAGTTCTATGGCCAAATGAGTTAGAGGAAAATCATATTCAAGCTTTTTGGAGACTTACCCTGCTGACTGGTATGTAAAAGCTCCAAAAAGGTCTACATTATATAAACGTTGTTTAGAACAGTCTTAGCCAATGTATTTAATCACAGAAATCACTGTATGCATACATGGCATTTTTCAGATTATAGTTTGGGAAATACCCTCCTAAAGTTTTGGTATAGGTGCTTCCCTTGCCCTTCCTTACAACCCCCCCCCTCCCCCCGTTTGATGATAATAGCTTTACTTTATAAAATATTTCTAAATAGAGATATTTAGGATACGAGTTCTAAATAAATTCTATAACTACTGACATTTTTGATTTTATGAAGTGTCTAACACATTTTATCAGCTAGTTCTATGACATGGGCAAGGTATATGCTATCCCCACTTTACATTAAGGGAAGGGGACCCTACCCAAGGGCACACATTAGCGAATAGTAGATCCAGGACCAGTAAAAGGTCTCTAAAGGCCTTTTCTCCTTTTTTAGCTGCCTTACTATTTGAATAACGAGGACTCCTAACAAACTGGAACCTTGTCTGATGCTCGCTAACAGCGTGCATGGAATTAGCATCATAACAGTGGTTAGAATATGGACTCAGAAACCAGACTGTCTGGGTTCAAATCCAGACTCTAACTCACTAGCTGTGTGACCTGGACAAGTTATTTTATCTTTCTACTTATATCTTATCCACTTACTAGATATCTTTCTACTTTTATTACTTATCTATTAGGACTTAGTATCCCCATGTGTAAAATGGGCATACCACTAGCACCTACTCAGAGGGTTATTGTGAGGATCAAATAAGGCCATGGGCAGCGGGTGTAAGGAACCTTGAACACAGCAAATGCTTAATAACAATGTGAGCTATTATTGTTATTTCAGAGTTGACAATAACACTGTCCCAGGCCTCAGAAAAGCTCGGTCCAGTGAAGGGAACAGTGTAAACAACAATTACAATCATGTGACAAGACTGAAACAATCAGGGTAGGAACACAAACAGCCTCTGCCTGGGGACAGGGTGTGGGCTGTCTAGGAGGGCTATGGTCTCCCCACCCCCACCCCAGCCCCAGTAGATCAGCACTTTCTCAGAGGCAGGGGCTGGCTGAGACTCATCTGTACCCCTATCCCAGGTGAGCTGTGAAATCCTCTCCAGGCCCCTGAGGAATGAGGTCTTTCTCCCTCATCCACTTGCTCTGGGTCTGTGGCTGAACTGGCTCTCAGCTAATCCCTATAATCCCAAACGAGCGCAGGGCCAGTCAAGACCCCCCTACCCACCAGAGCAGGGATTGGCAATGAGATGGGTTTGGGAGCGAGGTAGCGCCTGGACTTCCGGATGGCAAACTTCTCCGTGGGTAGAGATTTCCCAGCTATCTTGAGTTTCAGGCCTGGCACAGCTCTGCAAAAGAGGAGGGTAGGGCAGGGTGAGAAAAAGCAGAAGAGAACTGAGAGTCCCCAAACTGCCCAGTGTCTACTTGGCACCTCTCTGGGCCTCAGTTTCCCCATCTATATGATGATAGTTTTGGACTCATAGCCTATGGCTATGGCCTTATTTCACACACCCTGTCCCAAGACCTGACCAGTTTCTGTGGCTTGGCAACGGGCTCCTCCACACCAGCTGGCAGAGGTGAGAATACACACAAACGCCCCAGGCCTGTTCTGTCTTCTCGTTTTCTCCCCTCCACTCCCCAGGCCCCATTTCCGGAGGCCCCCGTGGAAGTCTGACCTCATTTCACAGGGGAGACTAACACCCAGAGAAAGGGAGGGAGGGACCTGCCCAAGACCGCACAGCTCGAAGCTTTAATTAGCTCTTGCCACGGGAGCTGTGGCCTCTTCAGCTGTTTCCAAGGGCAGAGCAAAGTGTGGTATGCAGCTCTGCAAGCCTCCACATCTGGGCCTCACTCACCCAGCTCCAACCCACCCTCCAGTTTCTGCCACAGTCACTGGGTGTGGCTGTGACCCTCAAGCTCTAGCTGGCCAGGCCCAGGAAACAGCTGGACCTCCCCCGCTTGTTCTCGGTAGAACCTCTCTGGGCCTGTTTTCTCATTTCTAAAATGGAGATAATGATATGAAGGGGAGCAGAATTCGTTACCCACAACATGCCTCTTTGACATAAGGATTATTTTAGGCTGGTTATTTTTAAGAGAGAGCAGACATAGGAAAAACTCTTGAAGACCTAGAAGTTACCTTTTGTGAGATATGTTTATAAAGGAAATCCCCAACTGTTAAGGTATCTCTCTATCAGGAAGAGGGGGATGATTAATCTCTAGATACTCTTATCAGTGCAGAAGTTAGTGACTTGAATGTGCATCACAACCTTACCCTTGCTTACTGTGCTTTTCTGGTAACCCCACATAACTGACTCCCCCACCCCCAACGTCGTCTTTAGTCTTCAGCTGAAGATGGTGTTTAAGGGGCTGGCCTCAGCCATTTTGGTGAGTTGCTCAGTTTTCCTGGGTCGCCCCATGTATTCAGGAGGTATAGATGTTATTAAACTTTGGTTTGTTTTTCTCCTGGTTTTTAATTTTTTTTTAACTTTTTATTTTTATTTGTTTTGTTAACCTTCACCCGAGGACATTTTTTCCATTGATTTTTTTAGAGAGAGTGGAAGGGAGGGAGGGGGAAAGAGAGAGAGAGAAACATCAATGTGAGAGACACATTAATTGGTTGCCTCCCGCATGCACCCGACTGGAGCTGGGGATTGAACCTGCAACCCAGGTACGTGCCCTTGACTGGGAATCGAACCCGAGACCCTTCAGTGCACAGGCCAACACTTTAACTGCTGAGCCACACCGGCCAAGGCATGTTTTCCTCCTGTTAATCTGCCTTTTATTATGGGGGTGGGGGGGTTAAGCCAAAAACTTAGAAGAATAGAGGGGAAATTATCTTCCCCCCAACAGATACTTACCCTTGTAGGCTTTCTTGTAGAGTCATGTGAGATGGAGAAACAGGCACTCAGTAAATGACAGATGCCCTATGACTATGACACTGGTAGCCCCAGAAGCTCAGGTTACCCCCACTTCAAGGCCAACCCTCACCACAACTGGAGGAAGGCCCTAGGCTCCATTCTCAACCTGCAAGGCTGGGCCCTGCTCTGGACCCTTTGCAGAAGGGAAACAGAGCAGCACAGGTAAGAATAAAAACAGCCACCGTTTAATGGCTCCACGCCCTACACCAGACCCTTTAAATATATTCTCTATTTGATTAGCAGAGCAACCCTGCAAGGCAGAGGTTATTCCCATTTTATCGATGCTGAAATTGTCCAAGGTGACACAGATAAGAAATGGCAAAGGCCGATTTAATCCTGTTTATTTGATCCAACTCTTTGGCTCGTTACTGTGCTTCTCTGAGTGGTATCAGGTTAACACAGCAGAAGTGACGTCTCTGGACCTCAGTGTCCACATCTGTCCTACTGACCTGACGAAAGAGGCTCAGTGGAAAGGATGTTGACAAAACCACTTTGGTGGAAGAAAGCTCTGAACAGATTCCTAGGGCTCTAACAAGCGGCAGCCGCAGCAGAAGGTGGCGATGGACGGGAACGACGGGCATGTGGGGAACCCTGGGGGAGGGTCAGGGAGCTCAGGGCCAGGGGTGACGACAGCCCCAGGGCCTCCTTCCCTGTGCCCACAGCTCCTGGTGTCTGGATGGAGCCTGGCTGAGGCCTAGACGGGGGTGCAGCGGTAGGACTCACCTAAACAACTCCACTTCGTCGTCCCCAAACGGCTTGTAGTCATCCTCCCCAAACATGCTGAGGTAGGCAGCCTTCATGTAGATGTAGGTGGCCTGTGAGAGGCAGAGCAGGAGTCGGGCGCGTGCCGAGGCCCCAGCTGGAGGCTGGCCGAGCTGCAGGCCCGTCGCTGCCCTTGGAATCGGCCGAGGAAGCCACAACCCACGTGGCACCTCATTTGGCACAAATACCTCATTTGGCCCAGCGTAGGTGCTAACATTATCCCCAGGCCCCAGGGGAGAAAGGGAGCTGAGGCAACTTGAGGACTTGAACTGGATGTTAAATCCAGGACGGGCCGTGTCAAAGCAGCTGCCCCCTCTCCGCTCTGAAGCAACTGGGAGCGCGAGTCAAGCAACGAGGGGGCGCACAGCCGGCGCTGAGGGTGGAGGCACAAGGGCGGGCAGCAGGGGCTCCTGGGAAGCAATTGCTTCAGACTGGGCCCTTGGAGGCCGGCAGGAAGATTCACAGGGACCCTGAGGATGGACTTTCCGGGCAAGGGGAACAGCCTGAGCAGAGCCTGTGAATGACCGAGGCACAAATAGGTAGCATAAAGTACGGGATGCATGAAAGAAAGGGTGTGTGTGAGGCCATAAGAGGGCGCCGGACCCGGGGTCAGGGCTCAGTTCAGGATCCCTTGGCGGAACCGCCTTACTGTGTGCTGGGCGCTTTACCTACATCACGTCACTCGATCCCAAAGACAATGCCGGAAAGGAACCTGTGCCCACCCTTTGCTTCCTGGGACCTCAGAGCTGCTGGGGGCAGAGCTGGGACTGACCCCAGGCTTGTGTGCCTTTAAAGACCTTGTCCGCTGGATCCACAGCCGCCCCTGATAGGGAAGGTGCAGCTGTGCAGACCCCCCCTTCCCCCTCCCAGACATCCTGAGAGCTGCGCCCCTTCTCCTAAGTCCAGTGCCAGAGGAGCCCGGCTCTGTGCTGCCCCCCAGTGGCCAAGCCTTGAACCACAGCTCCTGCCACCGGGGCTGCTGCCAAGGAACTACCTGCCATTAGCCCAGAAAGAAGTGCAGTGGGTGGGGGAACCGGAGCAGGACATCCTGGAGGCTAGTCTCTGGGGAAGGTGGAAGGCAGCCTCCACCTGGCAGCCCCACCCGTGCTGAAGCCCAGGGCTACTTCCAGTTCTACCCTGACCTCAGCACCTCAGTCCGCCCTTCACAAAATGCAGAACAGCTGGTTTTTGTGGGGTGTGGTGGGAAGAATCTCCCCTGGCTGAAACCCGCATTGGAATTCCTGGTGTCACCCCTGCCTTCTCCCTCTTCCCCATCCTGGCTCTGAGTCACTAAGTCCTTACAATTTTACCTCCCATCCACCTCTGAACCCCACGGGACTCGCGCTGTCACCTCAATTACTGCACCAGCCTCCACACGGCTCCCTGCTCCAGGCCACCAGGGATGTCTTTCTAGTGCCCTCGTTTATATGGTCTCCTCACCGATCTTCCTGCTCCCACTCCTGCCCCCTGCAAGCCATTCCCACACCATGCCAGTCAGATCTTTTTACATCAAATGACATCAGTCCGTCCTTGAAGTGCTCTCACGCTGTCCCATCACACGTCGGATAAAGCCCACACCCCCTCTCATGGCCTGCAAGGCCCCACCCAGTCTCCCCCAGTTTCCTTTCCAGTCTCCTCTCCCACTGTTTCCCCCTCCCTCACATCATTCGGCTGTTTCCAGAATACATCAGAGGCACTCAGCCTCAGGCCAGGGTGCCCAGCACCTACAGGAGGGAGTTCTTAAAGCCCAAATCTAAGCCCAAGCATCGAGGGCTCCTTCACTGTCAGACTAAAGCCCAAACAGCCACATAGGGCCCCCAGTGACCTGCTTTTCTGGCTCCTCTTCTGCCAATTACTCCCCATCACCCCTTAAACTCACCCCAGGCCTTTCCCTCTATTTTTCCTCTGCCTAGGATGTCATTGTTCCTTCTCTGCCACACTTACCCACTGGCTTGCTCTAATAGCCCCCCGACAGCTCACCCCCCTTGAGTTACCAGGAGGTGGGGTGGATGCAGTGGCCTAGAATTGTGACACCCATGGGCATCACGTTATCAAGGGATATTATGGGGCCACATTGATGGAAAGCAGCAGCCGCCGCCTCTGATGGAAGTCCTGTCTCCCCAGGGTTATCAGACTATTTGCCCATTGATTCCACACATTAATATTTCTGGATTACTCTACCAGAGCTTGTGCAGTCAGTCCTGTCTTCAAGAAGCTACAGCAAGTGGCTTAAAGGGGATGGTTTCTCCACAGTCCCTTACACTTCTACCCATAAACCAAACCTTCACCTGGTGACACAGAACCTTTTAGCAGCACCCTGGCTTCCAAGCCTTCGACTTTTCTGTTCTCTTGGCTTGGGGTGTCCTTTTACTTCCTCCATTCTCCACCTTAATTCCTCCCCCTTCAAAACTTGGCTCAGATGTCTCTTCTTCCAGAAGCCTCCCTTGTCTTTGTGGCTGTGCTGCCCAGAGCTGCCTCTGAGCTCCCCTTGGTTTCCCCCATTGCAGCACTAAGCCCACAGTTGTCACCACCTAATTTCTGGCCATCTCAAGCTGAGGGAAACACAAAGGCTCCACAGGGCAGAGAGGGATGCAATAACCACAGGCCAAGCCCCTAGAGCTGAAAGTTAGTGGACTCTGTGGTGACCAAAGACTGGAGATTAGGAATGAATGAGGCCCCCGAACTCAGGGTTCTACAACCCCCACTTTCACAGGAAACCCTTCTGAGGAAAGTGCTGGAGAGAGAGGGGGTGACCACTCCAAAGTCACACAGCAAGCTAGAGACTAAGCTGACTCACAGCCAGACTTCCTGACACCTGGGAGGCCTGGCCCTCCCCTCAGCAGCTGTGTGCACCCCCACCACCACCTCTTTCCCCTGTGGGTAGACCCAGCCACCCACTTACTCCACAGGAAGGCTTCTAGATCACTTGTTCAAAAAGGTTCCCCAAGTCTGTTCTCTTATTGGGAGTGGGAAGTGCTGAGGAATGAGGGCCGGGCCCACAGAGGCTGGGCCTGAGGAGGAACCTTTACTAGCAGAGTGGTCTCAGGGCAAGCTGTGCCTCCAACAAGGGAAAAGCACAGGCCTTTGAGATACACAGAGGTGCCTTCAAATCCAGTATCTGTCACCAACAGCCATGTGGGCCAGGAAAGCCACATACCCTCTCTTAGCCACAGTGGCCCTTGTGTGCCCATTGGAGATAACTTCTACCTCACTGGGTGCAGTGTGGAAGAAATGGCAAGTGCTGGGCACTCGGTGAGAGCTCAGGAAAAGCCTGCCCTTCCCCCAGCCCCACAGGCCCCAGCCCCAGGGCATTTCCTTTCAGCTTGGTCCCCAGGCAGGGGTACTGAAGAAGGACTTCTGTACAGAGGTGGGAGGGGTGAGAAATAGGGACTTAAGGACATTGGGACACATGTGCTATGTATTTGCCAATACTAGATTGATGCTCTCTGATGATCTAGAGGATTCTAAAACTCTTTGTTCAGAATTCTGTGCTATCACTACTATGGCGACAATGGCTAATCCTTATTTCCCCACTTACCTGGATGTTATGTTTTCACCTACAGTGGGTACCTGTTTTGCTTTGTTTTGCCTAGATGGCATCTCTTTAATCCACCCACCCCCACCCCCCAATGCTTCTTTCGGGGACATCACCTCACTTTTCTTCTGGGAACCACCCTTCTTCTGCTCCCCATCCATCAGTCTTCCCACCCCCGTTTCTAGGCACTGACATGCCAGACCAATGAGGCTCTGTCGTGGGGCTTCAGTTGAAACCAAAGGGAAGATGCGAGTTAGGGGCAGGCAGCCCATGGGCACCCTGCCTGTCACATGAAGAGAACCTGCCTGTCCAACAAAGATGTCATAGAGGAGAGCACAGTCACAGGCGGAAAAACCAAGCCCAGATGACATCATTTGAATTCCTGGATCCAGCCCTACCTGAAGTCAGTTTGCCTAGAATTTTCTGTTGTATGAACCAATGAGCCTTTTGTGTTCTAAGCTCCCATAGTCCAATACAGTGGTCACTAGCCCATGCGACTTTTAAAATTTAAATTTGAATTAAAATGAAATAAAATTGAAAACACTCGGTTTCCCAGTTGCACTAGGAACATTTCAGGTGCTCAGTGTGGGCATGTGGCTGGTGGCTACCGTATTGGATGATGCAGGAATTTCCACCAAAGCAGAAGGTTCTACTCGACAGCACTCACCTAGGCAGTGTAGGCCACGTTTCTGTCCCTTGTGACTAAAAATCCTGACACATTATAGCTCTGAAGTTTCTCTGTTCCTCAAAGTCTTTAGTTCCTTCCAACCCTGAGTCCTATTAGAAGTTATGGCTCTGTTTAAATTCCAGCTGGGACATCTGTGTTCAGTTAGGCCTTTGGTCTAGGGCTGCAGGGCCAATCTGGGTTGACCTGGCCCCCCCAATGTCCCCCAGCACTTGATGTGAGCCCACCTTGGACCAGGAGTTCTCCTTGCTGAGCAGGTCGGCATAGAAGTAGGCCATCTTCCACTGGCCCTTGTAGGTGAAGCACCACATCAGCTCCCAGTAGCACATGTGGTGGAACTGCTTCCAGTGCTGCTGGGCCTCACAACACTCCTCAAAGCGCCGGATGGCCTGTGGGCACCTGCTGGTCAGCCTCGGCTGGTGCCCAGGCCCATGCCCGCCCCATTCTGCACCCTCTGCATCCGCCCAACTCCGCTGCAGGCCCAGCCTCCCCCAGCACACGGCGGTCTAGCCCTGTGCCAGGGGATTGGCTTCCAGTCCTGATTATACCCTGAGTCTTACATGGCCTTGGGCCCAGTTAGTGCCCCTCTCTGGGGCTCTAGTCTCTCAGTCACACAGTGAAAGGACAGCATAGAGCTGTAATACAGGGAGAACAGGCAGTGGAAAGTGTTAATTTAAAATGATATAATATCTGTGCTTTGGAGCAAACTCCAAAGATTTCAGTAGCTACTAGGAAGTAGCCTGGACCTGGGGCATCTGTCCTGCTCCCTGAGGAGCCACAGCCAGGCCAGCGGGAGACCCCAGGACTCCCCATTGCAGAGTCCATCCTGGGCCTTGGCTCAGTGCCAGGGTCTTGCCTGGACTGTGACCCTCCCCTCTCCAGCCCCTTGGATGGTTCCCTCACCTATGTAGCCCTCACCTCCTGGCACCAGGTTCCACTGCACTCCCCAGGCTCCAGCCTGTCACCACTCCCTGAGTAAGTGTCTTCCCATGTTCCTGCCACACTCCGGCACCTCCTTTTCTCCCTGTCAAAATCCTACCCACAAATGCCACCTCCTCCCTTGACTTCCCAGACTGCCTTAGCAGTGCTTCTCCCGCTCCCAGCAGGCCCTGTCCCTGAGCATGTCTGTGCGTCTCACTTCCCGCTGGCCGGGGGGATCCCCTTACTCACCGAGTCAATGTTGCCTTTGATGGCTTCAATTCGCCCTGCAAAGAACAGGAAGATGGCGCCCTGCAAAGACACCAGTGTGGGTCCAGGAGCCCTGGGTCGCTCATGGTGGTGGGGGGATGGCGCAGGAGGCGGAGCTCACCTTAGGGTACCGCTTCAGGTAGGGCCTCAAGAGCTTCTCTGCCTCCTCAATGTTGACGTTCCCGGTGCCTGAAGGAGGTAGGGGTACAACACCTGTCACTGCCACCACCAGCTCCTGTGATCCTCCCAGCGCCTACCAGGGGCTCCTCAGGGCCTCTGTTTCCCCCACTGTGAAATGGGGATAACACTCTTCTATCTCCAGAAAGATGTGAAGATGAAATAAGATAGTGCAGATGTCACCCTAGCATATCCCAGGGCTCAATCACTAAGAGTCCGTGCCCAGAAGCCCAAGGAGCCTCCTACAGTGTCCTCACACCCTCTACAAGGTGGGCATGAACATTCCCATTTCACAGAGGAGAAAACTGAGGCTGGAACCCAGTCAAACTCTGAGGAAGTAAGTGGTCAGCAGGCCTCAGGACAGTTGGCGTGGCTCTGTTGTTTGTGGTTTCAGTGTCCCACCCCCAGTCTCGGGCCCAGTCAGCGTGTGTAGTCCCTCACCCCCACGACCCCTGCCCATACCCGAGGCACCCGGCACTGGCCCCAGGAGCACGCTTACCGAGCACGAAGGTGAGGAAGGTGTGGTAGCACAGCAGCAGCATGACGCAGAGCACGGCTCGGAAGCTGTGCCCCGAGGCCCCCTCCTCCAGCTGCAGTAGCCCATAGTCCTGGGGACAAGGGGGCAGGCTGAGGCCAGCGCTCCCTAGGGCCCACCTGGGGCCAGGGAGGGACAGGGGCTTGGAGGTCATGGACAGCCGTGAGGGCAGCGCTGCTGGAGCTGCGGGCAGGGGGCAGCTCTAGGCCCAGGAGGCGGGGCAGCTCCCCCAGGCTGTGCAAGGGGCTACCCCTCTTGGTGCCTGGGCCGCTTTCCTGGGTGGGGCACACACTGCTGCCAAGGCCAGCGCAAAGTCTTGGGCTGGGTGTCCCCACCTCCTCAACAGCCCGTCACCCATCCCTCCCTTTATTCACCTGCTTGGCCTGTGGTGGGTGCTGAGGCCCTGAGCAGACCCAGGTCTGGTAAGGGGATGAGGAATGACAGGGAGGCAGATAATCCTAACCACAGGCTCAGGGCACAGAAGGGATCATGAGGACTGTGGTCTGGGAAGGCTTCCTGGAGGAGAAGGCTCCAGAGCCTGACTGGGAAGGAGCAAGAGGCCAGGCCCTACTTGTATCCCTGTCTGCAGGCTCTGCCTCGCAGACTATCCTCCAGGGTGTTCTTGTTTTCTCTACTATACAAATCTGACCTGCCTCCCCCCTGCAAACCCTCCACGGCTCCCTGCTTTCAGGATAAAGTCAGAGTTGGAGATGGTGCTGGAGGTCTCTCCATTCTGGCCTCGTCACCCTCTTTCCTTGGCCAGGCAGGCCATGCTGTCCCCTCTCTTGGCCTTCCTCCCGCTCTTCCCTGCCATCATCATCCTGAAATCCTACTCCCGACCCAAGGGCCTTCTTAAGAAAACAAAACTGAAAGGGACCTTCAGAGCCTCTAGCCAGTGTTTCCTGGCCTGGGCCGTGGACTACAGGTGGCAACAAAGATTTCAGAGGTCTGCAGACAGGTGTCAGGAAGCAGAGGATCCCATGCAAGGCCTTCTCTCCTTAGTTCTCTGTCCATCTGACGGTGTCCAGGAGACACCTCAGCCCTGTGCTGGTGCGTGCCCAACATGGCTCTGGCTCTGCGCTCCCTTCCTCACGAAGGGAATAGCCTTGGCAGACCATGCAATCCAGCTGGGCTTTTGTAAGACTTTGGTCCTCATAGTACTTAGTTATGATTGTGCTCTTATCATGCCAAATAATATAGGTGTTCTATGTTGTATATTTACTTTAAATAAGCTTAAGTAAAAATTATGAGCTACTTTTGAGAAAAATAATATCTAAGTAATAATAATATAGACATGGCAAAAATCAGCAAGGGCCAGAAAAAGTTCAAGTTTGAGAAACACTGACCTGGTCTTAAAAAAGCCCCTTGTTTTACTGAAAAGAGGCTCAGACTTACAGGGAGAAGGGGATGATGACTTCTAGGCCAATGCTCCTTCCCTCACACCAGGCCTCCTCCACCAGGGAGCCCTCCCCGATCTGCTATCTGGTACTCAGGTTCCTGCCCTCAGTAAAGCCTCAGTAAAGTGAGTCTGGTTTCCACTCTCAAGGCCTGATGCATAGTAGGGCTTCCCTTGAGCATGTCCCAGATGGTCCCAGGGGAAGGGTCTTGCTTCAGGTCTTCTGGGGCGGGGGGGCTGAGGGGCCCAGAAAGCAGGCAGTTACCTTGTTTCCTGAAAATCCCACAAATTCCAGAAGCCGCAGGATCCTAGTAGGAAGCATGGACAGCGTCTGCAGGACAGAGGTAGGTGGGCACATGGAAGGGCAGGCTGCCGTTCCCACTCCCCAAACCTCCAGAACCCTGGGGTGCAGGCCCCATGTCTGCAATGCCCCCGGTCTCCTGGAAAGCCAGCTTCCCCAGACAGAGAGGTATTACAGCACGACAGGAGCGGACTACATCCAAACCCTGGTCTTACCACTCCCAGATGGGTCACCTTGAGCAAGTTATATATCCTCTCTATGCCTCAGTTCCCTCATTTGTAAAATGGAAATAATAATAGCCCCTACTGAATAGGGGTCTGTGCAGATGGATCAAATTAATCTATGTAAAGCACATAGAAGGGCTTCCCTTGGGCATGTCCCCTGGGAACATAGAAGGGGCTGCACATAATAGTCGGCTACTGTCGTCATTATCACACTGAATCCCTACTTTGCACCAGGGGCTCCGTCATTGCATTTGATCCTCAGAATAGCCCTGCACAGTAGGGTTTACTGAACCGTTTGACAGATGGGGAAACAGAAGCACAGGTAAGTGATAGGCCATGTCCAAGGCCCCAAAGCTCATCAGAAGTGGAGCCAGTCCTTGAACCCAAGATGGTCTGGCTATAATGTGCTAAAGCAGCCAATGCACTTTGCAGCTGTATTTTTCAGCACTTGGCCTGGGATCCCTGCTCCCATTTTACATATGAGGAAACTGGAACTCAGAGTGCAGCAGGGACCCCCACCCCAAGGCCTGCTCTTGGAACAACGAGGCTTTGCCTGAAGTGGAGAGAGAGCTTCCCACCCCTTATCCCCTACCCCATCACACACACACTTTTGGAAAGGCCCTCAGGCTAGGAGAGGAAATTGTCCACAAGCAGTTCCCTTGGGCATGTCCCTGGAGCAGGCACAGCTCTTCTTAGACTCCGGGCCTCAACTCACACTGTTCCTTCAACCTAGAATGCCCTCCTCTGCCCGGAAAACTCCCCCCACCTATGGATGCTTCAAGATCCAGTTCAAATACTACCCCTTCCATGAAACCTTCCCCAACTCCCCCAGGAAGGAGTTTGGCTCTCCCCGGTCCCTGTGGGTTACCAGCTGTTTCCGGGCCTGTCTCCTTCCCTGCCACTGGTCAATGTTTAACCACCAGCTCTCCAGGGCTGAAAAGGCCCTGATTTATTGTCAATTTCTAATGCTATAAATACTGGCACTATGGTAGATTTTAAGCTTTCAACTTGACCTGGGAAGAAATGCACAGAAGGGACTCTGGAGCCAGTGCCTGCGCCCACCCCACTCCCATCCCAGCTGTGAGTCCCCCAGGCTGCATCATGTTTGCTTCATCGCTGGGCCCAGCGTTGGCACAGGGCCAGGAGCTCAGCAAAGACCGTGTGTGGAGCTGGGATGTGAAGGAAGATTAATCTTGAGCCCAGACACTGTGGACATGGGAGGGCCACTCCCACTCACCAGGTTGAAGGCGCCCACGCCAAGCTTCACACCTCCTTCAAAGTGCCTGTGGTTCTCCCCCTTGCAGTATTGTGAGGACTGCACGAGGCTGTCCAGCTCCCTGCAGAGGGAAGCAAAGTCCTGTTTCAGCCACATATTGGGGGCCGAACGTTGGGGGCCATTCCAGCTGGGCCTAACGTTGCCCCATTCCCAGCTGATCTCAGAGCTCACTGGTGGTAGAATTATAACAGTTCCAGCAATCCAGAAAGCTGATATTCAGGAGTTTCCAACCACATCTCCCACCCTAATAACATACTCTCCTCCCCTAAATTTCAGTCATAACAGCCATAGCTCACCTGCCTTGTCCAACATCTAGGCAGTTGCTTGTACCCTGCATTTTGTCTAAAACACTTTCTCGATCTCGGCACTACTGACATTTTAGTCTAGATCATTCTTTTTTGGGGTGAGGGGGCTGTCCTGTGCATCATAGGATGTTTACTAGCATCCCTGCCCTCCACCCACTAGATGCCAGTTGTAACAACCAAAATGTCTCATTGGGGGCAAAATTACCCCGTTGAGAACCACTGAGCTAACTCTAACACCCCCTTTCCAGAAGTCTTCCTGCAGTCTCCTGGTTAGAAGAATCCAGCCCTCTTTCCCCTGGCCACCAGCGTACAAAGCCACTATCACAGCCTGCCTGGGACAGGACAGAGGCTTTGAAGAGGCGCCTGCCTTCTTCCCTCCCCCCATGAGCTGCTGCCCTCCCAAGTCTCCCACTCTAGGAGACTGACCCCCATCGAGTCACTGTGTAGGTAAGAAGGGCCTCAAAGAAGGTCCCAGGGCCTGATCTGGTCTGGGTTCAGGGAAGTCTTCCCTCAGGAGCTGACATCTGAGCTGAAAACCAAGGGATGAGTAGGAATGAGCCTGGCACAGAGTGTTCCTGGCAGAGAACATGTCCAAAGGCCGTGAGGTAGGAATGAGCTTAACATGTTTGAAGAACTGAAGGCGTGCCTAAATGTCGGAGGCGGAACAGGGTGGGAAATGGGGCAAGGAGGGCAGTGGGGCTCTCGGGAATGACTTGGCAATGACCGGGGAATTTATTCTAAGAGCAAGAGGAGCCTCAGGACTTGGCAGAGGGTGACCTGACAAGGTTTGTGCTTTGGAAACATCACTCCGGCAGCTGGTGGGGAGACTGGAGGAGCCAGAACGCTGGTCTGGTTCCCCTCTCAAGATTCCAGCACAGACCCACAAAGTATGCGGTGCCCACATACTGCATGGTGCGTTACACCCAGCAGTACCCTACAGTCAAACGCAAAATATCTCTGCTGGGAAATGGTCATATTAAATGGGGGAAATAGAGATGATAAATAGTCTCAAGTCAACTTTTAATGGAAAATGATTTTTGATGCCAAACCTGGGCGGGGGGGCGGATGAGCTTTCAGAGCTTTTTGGATTTTGGAATGCTGGATGTTTGTGGTGCCATGTTAGGTGAAAGTGCTCTGTATTGAGTCTTCATTCTTTCACCCATAAATATGGCCTATGCCTTGCCCAGTGCTGAGATGAAATGATTTGGCGCTTGGGTAACACCCATCTTAAGAGGGGGGTGGGAGCTTTGTGGACACCATCACTATGTACTGGGAGAGGTGAAGGAAGGCTTCATGGGGAAAGTGGCATTTGGACTGAGCCTTACTGGAGGTGTAGGAGTTCTGCTGCTGTGTTCCTCCCCCACCAGTCCAAGGTGTTTGTGCAGAATCTGTGTCTTATGTTCCCCTAGTTCAAGGTCAGGCACAGAGTAAGCATTCAGGGGAACCAACAGATACACCCAGGAAAACCAGGGGAATAATATTCCAGAAAGCTAAGATCCTGAGGGTGCAGAAATCTGCCTGAGGTCACACAGCATTCTAGGCTTCCTGCCTCCCACAGAGCAGCCTGAGGGGCACAAGGTAGCAGGTGCTGTGCCCCAGGCCCCCAGCTGGCCCCACTCACTTGTAAGTCTGGTAGCTGTTTCGAACCTTGATGCCGCCCTTGATGAAGCTCACCATGTTCTCATCCTGCAGGAGGGAGAGATGCTCAGAGCTGGGCCTGGGTGGGTAGCCAGAGGCTTGAGAAAGATCGTAAAAGGCTATGGGCCCTGCCTTCCCCTCCCTGGGTCCAGCTCTATGAGGGGTCCCCGTGGGAAAGGGGTCAGAGGTCAGCCAAACCACCTCTCCCTACCCTTGGGACTTGAGATGAGGGTCTTGCTTACCAAACAAGACCTCCAAAATGCCCAGGGCTTGACTACAACCCCCCTTTACCAGCCTTGCATGTACGCATACTATGTGCTTGGAGAAAGGCCTGGAGGAGATGCTCCCCACGATTCAGGAGCGGTTCACAGTGCCTCCTCCAGGTGGAGGAATGTGGGAAAGGAAGACGGGCGTTCGTTTGGATTGTTTGTGTTTTTATCACATTTGTAATTTAAAGCCCTAATACCGACAGCCCACCCTGCAGTTCCACTCCTGAACTGGATGAACATGGGCTGTGGAAGTCACCTTCAAGAGTGTGCACAGCGCTGCTGCTCAAAGCAGCCAAGAACCAGAATCAACCCAAATGCCCTTGAGCGCGAGAATGAACAGGCTGGTGTATTCCCCGAAGGAACACCACGCAGCCACAAAGGACTGTGCGAAGAAAGCAAGTCCCGCACAGCTGGAGGCCTTACGAAAGCTTGACGCCAACTAAAACACAATATGCTGTTCAGACGCGAGTCAGATGAGAAAGCTAGTTTTTAAAAAAGAGGGTTGGGGTGACAAACAAAACTCTAGCTATGGTTTCCTCCTGTGCAGGGAGGCAGGGCGCAGGGTGGGGAGGGGCCCAGAGGGGAGGAGACTTGGTAGCAGTGTTCCGTTCTTGGTTGGGTGGGAAGTTTTTGAGTGTTTACTTATCATGTGTAATACCAGAATAAACAAATAAAATAAAAGGCCATTCATGGTGCAACTATTACAGTGATCCTAATGAAGGATTAGGAGTAATCCAGTTCTAATCACTAGAGGTCCAAAAAGATAGAAAAACGGCAAACAAAAACAAACAGCACCCCAACAACAAAATTTATGTGTGCTTTCCCACACTCATATGCATATTTACATGATGATTATGTGTGATAATTATAACCCAGACTTTTTGGTAAAATCATGAGGCGATGGTCTCATAATTACCATTGTGTGGTAAGGAGCATGGGCTCCTAGTCCGACAGACCTGGGTTCAAATCCCAGCCCTGCCATTTGCTAACCACGTGACCTTAGGAAAGTGGCACCTTCCCTCAGACCCTCCCTTTTGCAAGCCTGTGAGATGAAGATTAGATAATATATGTAAACGTACATAAAGACAAACATGCAGTGTGTGTAAGGTATGTAAAAACCACATAGCTGTAATGTTTTCGCAAAGCCTGTTGTAGATGCTACAAGTCAACTTTTTCATGAATCGAGTCAACTTGCTTTCCAATAAGTCAGGTGTAAAGCAGGCTTTGTGACAACGCCTGTCATCCCATGTGACCTTTAGCAGGAAAACAGCAGTCACGAGGTAGATGTGAATGCTGGTAGTGATGGAGCCGTGTGCTCAGTGTGGAGGGATAAAGCCTATCACCTCTACCACTGAGCCCAGCCAGGGCTGGAAGTGTCCGGGTGACTGAGCCTCAGTCCTCTCTTGAACCCCAAGGGGGCTGATCATGGCTGCTAAAGACCCTTCTGTCTTTGACATGGAGACCCATCTTCTGAAATCCCCAGGCTGCTTGTACGAGTAGAGGGTTCCTACCTGCAGGAAGGTCAGGGCAGCTCTCTGCAGCAGGCATTCTGCGTAGCAGACCTCAGCATGGATTTCCTCTGTGGGGAGAAAAACAAAGCCCCGGGGCCTCCTGGGACTCTTGGCAGAAGGCTGGGGCCAAATTCTCCCCACCCCCACTTCCCAAAAGGCCAAGGGAGCCTGAGTCAGCACCCTTCTCATCCCCCTCCACCAATACCGAGGTCAGGTTCTGCAGCACTCACACGATTCTGAACTAGCTTACATCTCCTGCTCCCTGGTCTTCCACCTGGCCCCGACCCCACCACCCAGAACGTCAGCACAGGGCCCTCAGCCTGCTCTCTTGTTCTGCAAGCATCGCCATGGCTCTGCACCAACCCCCCGATGGTGCTGGGCAAGGAGAAGGCACTGGGGTGAACCAATGTAAAAAGAAGCTGTGGGAGTCAGGGAAGGAGACCTAACACAGCCCAGTAGTCAGGGAACATTTTCAGAAGGGACATTTGAGTTGAAAAAGTAATGAAGGATGAGGCAGGAATAGCTTTCTAGAAAGAGGCCCAGGACAGCCAAACAACTCCGATGCTTAGGGACAGCTGAGGCCCAGGAGGTTGAAGTGGGGGTGAGGTGAGGAGAGAGAGGGGCCAGGGAAAGACAAGGAGGGGCAGAGGACTGCTTGCAGAGGGCCTTGAGCACTGGTGGAGGATTCCAGATTTGGTCCTGTGGGCAGCAGGGAGCCATGGGAGGTATGAAGGAGGGAATGGCACAATCATATGCACTGTTTCTTGCTGGAACCTTCTAGGGCTCTCAAGGTGGGGAAAGCCATTTGCCCTGATATTGAAGAGCCCCAAATTGTTCATGGTTGCCCGCTGCCACCTCCAGGACTGCCACATGTGGCACAGACACCGCACGGCTCCGGCAGCCCAGACCATCTCTTCCACTGCTTTCAGCTGCACTGTCCCGTGTGCCAGCTTCTAAAACCACATTCCCTCTGGGCACATGAGGTCACTACCATAATTAACCAGCGGCCCTAACTGCATACACGATGCTCAGCCCACCCTGGCCTGAGGAGCGGAGCACATAGACCTGAAGACAGCATTGTCTTTCCTGGACTTCCAAGCCATCAGGCAAGGGTCTTATCGCTCCCCCTTCACCTGAGAGCCACTCCTCAAAAGGCCCCAGGTCTGGCCCATATGTGTCCCAGCATCAGGCCAGGGCTCAGCCCCCTCAGCAAAACTGAGGGGATAACTGCCCCTTCCTGCCCTGCCCAGGGCCTGAAACTGGGCTGCCTGGAGCCAGCAGGGTTGAGAGGACATCTGTATGCCACACCTTCCGTGAATTGATCCATGGTAGGGCGGTGCATGAGGTTGCTGAAAGAATCTGTTACTGAGGATTTCTTCCGGTACCTGAAGAGGAAAAAGGGGCCTCTGGTCATTCAGGGAAGGTATGTGAGGGTCCCAGGTGGGCTCCAACCACATCTTCTGCCCTTCCCATAGGACTCCACACACACTGAACTCCTGGCAACTCCCCCAAATCCAGGGCTTTCTCACACCCGTGCCCTGCTGTTACCTCCTCTCCCTCCTCTGCTCCTAGTCAATCTTCACAAACCAGCTCTGGAATCACCTCCTCCAGGAAGCCTTCCTTGCTCCTCCAGCTGAACCCTCAGAACCCCTTGAGCTTCCCTGAATCATGCTCTATGTCACTGCTTTTGCTTGTCGTAACACCAGGCAGTGAGAGTATTAAACTAGCCTGAGTCTGATGATTCCCTGGGTGGTCAGTACCCGGCACATAACCTAGCCTAGGGCAAGCATGATTGTGTGCCCAATAAGTAACGACCGCCTGCACACAAACATTCAGGGTCTATTGGTCCATTAATTTAAGCAGTTAACATGCACAGAACACCAGTTACATAACAGGCCCTGTGATGGGTATTTTCACTCAGTCCCCATGACAACCCTTTTATAGATAGGGAAAGTCAAATCCCCAGAGGGACTTGCCCAAAGTCAGAGTTATTAAGTGGCAGCCAGAATTTGTCTCCTCCCAGTCAGGCCTGGCCTCTGGGAGCCCCTCAGTGAGTGGCTCAGACAACAAGATTCCCGAGGCAGTGCTGACTCGGACAGCTATTAGGACTTGGGGACACATCCTCTTAGCCAAAAGCAGCAGCACTCATAATGGCATTTTAGACACTGGGATAGGCCAGGGTGTCAGAAGGAGGGGCCTCATGACCCCTCAGCCTGCCCGTCCCATGGCCTGACCTCTGACACAGCAATTGCGCCTCCTTCATCATATTGCCAGCAAGCAGGATGTCCTGAGGGTCAAAGGTCATCATAGCTTGCATCTCCAGGATGGTGGCATATGTCAGGGAGTGGTACATGCTCTCCTTGGTTCTGCCAGAGAGAAAGGACATAAGAGTGTCAACTCCTAGAATGCCAGAAACAGCTGGCCCTGTGCCAACTCCCCAGCATTCCCTCTCCCATTCTGCATGGGGGGAAAGGGAGGTCCAACGAGGGGCGGGGGAGGCTTGCCCAAGGTCTAAAGACCTCGGATGCCAGCTGAGTGGCTTTAAATGACTTTCCAAATCTGAGCCTCAGTTTCTCTTCTGTTCCATAGAGAAAGTAGCAACAAGGCTGCTATAAGGCTCAAAATTGGCCTGAGGCCTAACCTCCCTGCATTTAGCCAGGTCCTGCCTCTAGCTTTCTGCCTCACCTTCCACAGGCAGAGCCCAAGTCCTGTCTGTGGGATCTCTTCTGTCCTCAGCCCCACCCCTGGGCTTGTCCAGTGCTTGTTCCCTAGGCCTCCTCACTGGCCCCCCACCTCCTGCCTCTTCTATTCCACCATCTGATCATGTCGCTCTTCTGGTTAAACCACGGATGGGGAACCTTTTTTCTGCCAAGGGCTGTTTGGATATTTATAACATCATTCCCGGGCCATACAAAATTATCAACTTAAAAATTAGCTATGAAAAAAGCTCCTGGATTTATTGAATTTTGAGTCCCGCCTGCAGTTGCCTTGGCAGGGGCAGACCAAATGATTTCGCACACCATATACGGCCCTCAGGCCAGGCATTCCCCACCCGTGGGTTAAACCCTCCGCAGTTTCCACGTCCCATGAGATAACACTTGGGTCAGAGGCTCCACACAATGCAGGCCCTGCCCACGTCTCCAGCCCAGTCGGCTTGTCACTTCTGTTTCTGCCCTGTGATCCGGTTGCATTCAAGATGAACCGCACATGCTTTCCTCAAGAAGATCCCACACTCTCCCTCCTCCCAGGTCTTTGCACATGCTGTTCCCTCAGGTTGAAATGCCCTTTCCTTCCTCTCATGTCCCCTAACTGTCAAGGCCTTCAAATGCCTCCAAGGCCACTGGAATCCAGGGCTCCCTCCTCAGGAAGCATGTGTCTATACCTGCGGCAAGGCTCACACTGAACTTATATCAGCAGAGGCACAGCTCTCCTCAGACTGTGGGCACCTGAGGGACAGAGCTTGTGTGAGATGCTTCTCTGTCCTCATCAGCAGTGTACAGGACAAAACGAGCCTACCTCAGGCAGGAAGCCTTCCCCTCCAGCTCCCTCCACTAAGGGCATGTTGGGGCTGGGGTGGGGTGGGGAATGCTTAGTCTAACATGGGGAGAGCAGCAGGCAAGGAGGGATGTACTGGGGGAAGTCATAATATGTCTGGCCCTTGATTTATGTTTCTGCAAAATGGGGGCAATAATGCTGGCCTGCCAGGTGGGGCTGGCTGGGGAGTACCCTTGCCTGGCACACAGTAGGTGCTGCGGTGGTTTCACTCCCTCCTCTCTATCCCCTTGTTAATTATTTAAGAAACTCCTCAGTGCCAGGCTTATGCTGGGAACTTCAGGGCAAAGAGGATGACGAAGGTGTTTATAGGCTGCGCTATTAGAAATCACATGACTTAACCCATTTTCCTGCTTTTCTCATTCACAAAACACCTTTGTAAGTTAAGCTGCTCTTTTACTTCTGGGTGACCCTCAGGTGAGGGAGTCAAAAGTTTTGAAGGAAACCAATGGCTAGTCCACCCCTACCAGCCCCGGTAGCTATCAGGACACCTCCCAGATCTTTGCTGGCACTGTTTAATCTGAGGGCAATGGCTTGTGGAAAGGAGGGCACGGCCTGCAGTAGGGGCAGAACACGGGCTTCAGAGTCTCTCAGAAACAGGTTGGAACCTGGGCTTTGCCAGTTACCAGCTGTGGGGTTCTGGCAAGTCTTGTAGCCTCTCTGAGCCTCAAGTTTCTACTCTGTAAAATGGGTACAATGACCCTTCTCTCCCAGGACTATGGGTGGCTTAAATAGGATGCCCAGGCCAGGGCCATATTGCTGATGATCAATAAATGTGAGTCCCTCCAAGTCTTGCCAGGGTCATGGGTCATTGCCCCACATAAAAGCTTTTTCCTCGAAGAGGGGTTTCTCTCGCAGCACACAGACCCATGCCTCCCCAGATAACCCCCTTCCACCAGGCCTCTTTAATTCTCAAACCCCTGCCTTTCTCTTCCTCTCTGCCCCCGAAACCACACCCTAACAGGCTGAGACCAGGTGCTCAGCCCCACCCGCTCAGCCCCACCTGTTGAGCCCAGTCTGGTGCTGGGCCCAGAAGGAAGAACAGCCCCCCTGGGCAGCTGGCAGGCAAAGTGGAATTTCCAGTTTGAGGCCCAAGGCCACAACGTGCTCCTGGCCCCTCCCCAGCCCACCACCTGGAAGCTTCCCAACTATGGTATGGGCTGAGATTTGGGATACAGAGGTACGACAACCTCCCTGACTTCAGACACTCCAAGTTTAGTTAGTTTGCACTCCACCCAGAAACTAACTAAGGAAGTTAGTTTCTTCCTTGCACCTACAGCATCCAGACCCCTGGGAGCAACAGACCCCTCATCTCTGAGCCAGATCCAGCTATGGAACATAATGCCCACTGGGGTTTCACCTTCTGGGTTCAGGAGAGCTATCAAGATAGGAGAGGGGGCACTGGAAGAGCCCTCAGAAGAGGTGGTATTGGAACCAGAGACTCCTTGGCCATCTGGAGGTCAGCTAAGCCCAAGTGGCCTCCAGCCTTTCCTTCCTCTGCCAGTAGTCAAGGCTCAGGGCCTTGTCAGCTACTTGTCAGCCAGCCCTGTCCCCATCATCTGGGCCTCCCAACTCTGGCCCAACCCCCACTGACTCTTCTTAGGACACACCCCCACCTCAGTCCCAGCCTAAGGCCCCAGGTCTGAGGGCCGCCTCTCTGGGCAAGACTGCTCTGGGCTGGAAGACAGGCAGGCCCCTGCTTCCAAGCTTCTCTACTCACTTCCTCTTCCTTAAAGCCCCCTCCACTTTCTGGTCCTCTCAGACCCCACCTCACTGCCCTCCTCTCCAGCCCAAGCACCTTCTAGGGGATTCATTCCCCTAGTCCACCTTCCATTACCCAGCCCTTTCCTTTCTGGGACCTGCTTCAGCTCCCTCACTGCAACCAGGCCAAGTGTCTGTCCCTCAAATACACCAGCCCCTCCCTCCATCGCTGCTGGGCCTTTGTACAATTTGTTCTCTCTGCCTCGAAATATCCTCTCCACCTGGCTGACTCCTTCTCAACCAGCCCATCTCAGCTTAAATGTCACTTCCTCCAGGAAGCATTCCAGGGCTGGCTTCATGGTGTGTGATCTGTGCAGCTACATTGGGCCTCATGCCTAAAAAGGCCCCATGCTTGGTTTTATGTTCTGTTATTGTTTTGAAATCCTTAATAATTTTTTAACAAAGGAACGCGTATTTTCATCTTGCAATGAGCCCCAGAAATTATGTGGCCAGTCCTAAAGCCTTCCTGACCAGCCCTCCCCCACAAGAGTTGGGGTCCAGCTATAAATCCTGGCACCCCTATGACCTGTTTCACTGCAAACAGCCCATGCCTTGCTCAGAACTGCAGCTCCAGAACCCAGCATGCTGCTGGGCATGTGGGGGAGCTCATGAGGTTTTGCTAAATGAACCAGCAACAGGTGTCCAATCACCCCATCCCCTGGATCACACCTTGACCTCATCATTCCACAGAATGGCTCTGTCTCTGGTGTCTTAAATGATGCCACCTACCCTCCCAACCACAACCTCCCCACCTTCCTGCTTTGGCTCAGTACTCACCTCCAGCCTGTCTTCTCTTCCTGATGTGCCAACTTCTTCAAACCAGCCACTTGTGAAATATTCACTGCTGGGCGTTCCCATCTCCTGCTGCACCCAGTTAGGAACCCTGGCCACGCAATTGCCCACTTTCCCCCCACTAACCCTGAAGGAAGCTGCCAGCCACACAGACAGGCCCACTCTGAGCAGAGGGCCCCCACCCCAGCCAGGCCTGTCACACTGAGACTTTCCCCTCCCTCCCCATCACTCCCAACACCAGCCTGGCCCCTCACTCTGGGCAAGGGACTTAGCCTCTTCCCTCAGCAGAACTGGGACATGGCATGGACACACCCTGAACTTCCTGCACCCGCACACCCCGCTCTCCCTCCTTCCCTCCTCGTGGTGGGGGGGCAGGTGCCAGGCCCTCTGTCCAAGGTAAACTCCTCCACCTGCTCCAGACCTGAGACAGCCCAGGAGACCCTGGGTCACGGAGCTGGGTAAGCCTGGCTCGTGATCATTTTTTCATCAAGAAAAACGGAACGGAGTAGCTACCATGTTCCAGAGACAGTGTTCGGGGGCAGACACGGCGTAGAATGGACTTGAAGCAAAGGCAGGGCTACTCAAAGAAGTGACAACTGAAGAAGCCGGGCAAGCAGAGCTCCGTGCCCAGCAAGGAGGGGTAACGTCCCCCACTGCACGGGGTGAGAACAATTAAATGAGACGTGGGATTCAACAAGGAACAGTGAATGAAACTGAACCCCAACATCCTTCAAAGTTTCGATGGCTGGGATTGGGGAGGGGGGGCCATTTTGAGCAAGAATTCTTTTCTGAAGACCAGCAGTTCTCATCAGAAGAGGGGAGGTATTTTTGCTGCTCCCAGACATTTGGCAATATCGGGAAACATTTTTTGGTTTTCACAAGGGGTGTGGGGAGTGTGCTACTGACATTGACTGTTTTGAGGGAAACTCTTAAACTCAAAAAGAAAGGAAAGATCCTCTTCTGGAATGGGACAGGGATTGAGATAGAGCTACCCTGCCTCCTATGGGAGGTGAAAGGCGGCCTCATGGGAAGACGGTCTCTCTGTGGTGCCTTCTTTAGGATGAGGGAAGGTGAGGCAGCCCCTCAATGAGGAGGGGACATGGAGGGGTCACTTAGAGGCTCTGTGGTGGGTCCAGCTTGAGGGCCTGGATGCAGCCACAGCATCTGGTTCTAACAGTTTCTTCTGGGCTCTGACTCCCTTCTGTTGGCCCCATGTCTGCAGGGCAGTTTAGAGGTAGACCAAGGCAGGGCCTCGTCTTAGCTGGGCTGTACACCATGAGGGACAGGCCAGGGTCTGAGCTTGGAGTGCAGCAGGCCAGGCTGAGCAGCTGTGACCTGGGGCAGCCCGGCCAGGGAGGGAAGGTGGCCACAGTCTGGGATTCAGGGTCAAGTGCCAGGATAGAAGTGGAGTTGGGGAGCCTTCCAAAAACCCTGGAAGGGGAACCTGGATGTTTGGTGATAGAGCAAGAAGGGGCTCGGCCTGCCTCAAATGGCGGCTACTCTTGCTGCAGACCCTGGCTTGCCCAGCCCTGCCCCACCTCAAGCCCAGACGCCCTCAGAGGGTGGGGAAGAGGTGTGGGGGCTGCTGCCTGAGCAACTGTGTTGTTTTTGTTGGTTGGTTGGTTGGTTTTAATATGTTTTTATTGATTTCAAAGAGAGGAAGGGAGAGGGAGAGATAGAAACATCAGATGAGAGAGTTATTGATCGGCTGCCTCCTACACGGCCCCCCACTGGGGATTGAGCCCCAGTTCTGGTATGTGCTGTGACTGGGAATCAAACCGTGACCTCCTGGTTCATAGGTCAATGCTCAACGACCAAGCCACTCTGGCTGGGCTTGAGCAGCTGTTTTAAGACTCATGACGATCATCACACCTTGGAACCCCCAGAACAATGAGTCAGTTAAGACTAGAGAAACTGAACAGACCAGGTTTGGGGACTTGGGGAAAGAGATCCCCCTGCCTCATTATTTGCTTTTCCTGGGAGCGGGGGGCAACCAGGTGTGGCAGAGGACAACCTAGGAGCTAAAAAGAGGGGATTTAAGGGTAAGCAGACAGTAGACATGATTAGACCTCACCCCTCACCCTGATCCTAGAATGCAGGTAGCCAGGGGTTCTCTGCCTAGGCCGAGGAATGGAGGATTCTTCTCTGGAGAAGCTGACATCTGGGGCCAGCTCTCGGCCAGATCATCCCAAACTTGATGCCACCAGTTACAAGGCTGCTTGGCCCGGACTTTCCAGTCGGCCTTTGAGTGAACTCGCTCTTTAATATGACCACACAGCCAGCCAAGGAACAGTGGGAGTTAAGGAAAGTCCCCCACGGGAAGAGGATTTGCCTCATCAAACAGAAATAGGGGACCTGGAGAAAGCTGAGATTATGAAGGAAAAGAATAAAACATTTTAAAAAAAGATAATATTCTGTGATAATAATAATAAATATAGGGCGTCCCCCCAAAATGTATACACACACTTTGAATAATTATAAAGGCAGTGTTTATTAAAGCACATTTCATTTTTGAAACTGAGCTACCCGCTGGTAAAGTGTGTATACATTTTTTTGGGACACCCTGTACTTATTAGAGTGCTTGCTACATGCCAAGCCCTGTCCTAAGGACTCTCATATTCCAAATATAGATATAAAGAACAGAGTGCACCCGTAAACCGAGAATAAGATGTTTTAGGGGAAAAAGAACATCCAGAGAACAATGAGGAGTGCTAGGAAATTAATCATATGATAACAGAAAAAAAGAAAAGTCAATAGAAGGATATAGCGATAAGATTGAGGAGATCTCTCTAAAATCAGAGAGGAAAAAAAAGATAAAGAATTTTGAACCAGGGGCAGGAAGAGATAAGAGGTTTAGAAGAGGACTGATCCAGGAAGTCTAATATCTGACTTAAAAGAAGCCAAGGAAAGGGAAAGACTACATGGAGGAATCACACAAGAGAAGTTCCTAGATCTGAAAGACCGGTTTCAAATAAAATGTACCAAATAAAAAAGACCTACATTCCAGCATGTCATACTAAAAGCTCAGATTTGCAGGAATGAAAGAGAAGATTCTAAACTTTTCTGGAGAGGGGATAAGGGTCACATGCAAAGTAAGAAGAATTAGGGTTCTCACGGCTACAGCAGATGCTAGAAAACAAGGCGCAATGCCTTCAAAATTCTGATAAGGAAAATTATATTCATGCAACAATTGCTTAAGAACTTTCTAGCCCTAGTCAGTTTGGCTCAGGGATTTAGAGCAACTGAAGGGTCAAGGGTTTGATTCTGGTCAAGGGCACATACCTCATTGCAGGTTCCTGCCCCCTCCCCTTGGGGCGATTTCGAGAGGCAACCAATCAATGTGTCTCTCTCGTATCAATGTTTCTCTCTCTCCCTTCTACTCTCTCTGAAAAACAATGGAAAAAACATATCCTTGGGTGAGGATTAACCAGAAAAAAAAAAGAACTTTCTAGAGGGCATGCTCTGGTAAAATGAGGGAGGAGACAAGAGAGAAAAGGCTGGGGTCAAGCAAAGAGGAAAGAAGCAGAGAGAGTTCCAGGAGACAGCTGGGAGGTGGCTGGTAAAGGTGTCTGTCCTCCAGGGGACAGGTTCTGAGCATTTAGGGGAAAACTCATAATAGCAAGACCTGATGGAGTGGTTATATAGAGTTCAGAAAAAATGTATAATAAATTAGGCAATGAAAAAAGTGAGACAATGATTAACTCTAGAAAGGAAATGTAGTCTTGCAATGTATGACTTGTCTCTGCAATGAGCATTAACTCCGTAGTTATAGTACTGTAAACATTTATTATTGATGTAGCCAAATATTGTGATATAATGATAAGAGGAGGCTAAGGAAGGGAGATGGGGAGAGATAAGAAAGCTAACTTCTGCCCTGGCTGGGTTGCTCAGCTGGTTATCACGTCATCCCAGTATACCAAGGTTTCAGGTTTGATCCCTGGTCAGGGCACATACAAGAATCAGGGAACGCATAAATAAGTGGAACAACAAATTGAAGGGGTTTTTCCCCTCTCTTTCCCTTCTCCTCTCTCTTTTCAAAATAAATAAATAATTTTTTTTAAAAAAAGAAAGCTAACTTCTTATTTACCAATAGGTGATGTTTAAGTGTAAAAAGTAACAAAAGGGTAAATTTTATATTTGAATTTTATCTCAATTTCAGTTTTTGAAAAACTGAAAAAGTCTAAAAAGAGCAGTATAAGCATATTATTTAGAAAGAAGGCAGTAAATGCTAGAAGAACTGGCAAAATGACTAGCCGTCATTATTACCCTAAAAGGTTTGGGTAAAAGCAACTCAAGTGTTCAGCACTTTGGAGAAAAATAAAGAAAAGGGATTGTGTTAACTGACGGCAGAAAAACCCCAAGTGGATTCAGTGGGGACAAGAAGTCAAAGTAGAAGAGGCCAAAAGGACCTAAGGAGAAGGAAGTCACAGTGACCTTGGGGAGGCCTGGCTGCTCACAGCTGTGGGATGGGGAGCTTGAGCCATTTTTATGGGACTCTCAGGGGTCACGGTGACCCAGAAGGTTGAAGCTTTCGGCTCCATGGGGGTCCTCTCACAGAAGACCTCAGGTTCTCCGCGGCCCAACCACCCCGTCCCTGCCCTCACATGCGGCTCGCACAGGCACATGTGCCCTCGCCCCTCCTGCCCCGGCCTGGGCTTAGGCCTCACCTGGGCTTGAGGTAGCTGAGTGCTTCTGAGAACTGGTTGGTGAGGAAGAGGTCCAGGGCGGTCATGCACTGATCCAAGGCCTCATGGAGGCTGTTCACGGGGGTCCTGATGAGAGAGACACGGGCTGTGAGACGGGGACTTCAACCCCCCCGCTGGCTGAACAGGGCCTCACGGGGACCACGTGCCCTCCCTAGTGGGCCTTGCATGCTTGTCACGAGCTCCTTCAGGCTGCCCACTGGGACACAAGGACAATTTGGATCCACCTCTAAGTGTTCCTGAAGGTGGGAGGAGAGCAGAATGGGGTGACATCTGAGATCTGGAGGAGAGGGTTTGGGGGGATGAGAACCGGGGATCAAGGAAGACTCAGAAATAAATTTATCTTACCTATCACAAGGGTAAAGGGGATCTTTGTGGCCCTTCTGCCCCATTGGGCTTTCCTGCCCCGCCCCCTGGGGGGCACAGCCCACCCACTAAATTCCACTTCGGTCCTTGTCTTCCTGCTCCCTAGGCCTTCTCCGGCCGCCTCAGGCCTGCGCTCTAGAACCCAGACACGCCGTCACAATGGTCTCCAGTGGGCGGCGCCGCCCAGGGCCCTGACGCTCAAGGATGCCTTCCCAACGGCATTTCCATGTATTCCAGTCCTCACACTTCCCTATAGCTCTTACCACCTTCTGACATATATTTTTTAATTTATTTTTGTGTTTATAGTCTGTCTCTTTCCACTAAAATACAAGCTTCCTGAGGGCAGGAATCTTTGTTTTGTTCACTGCTATATCCCCAACATCTAGTATCTGATACAAAATGAGTTTTTGATAAATATTTGTTGAGTGAATGAATGAAGAGTCTAAGGCTAGGAGAGCGAATCTCTGACCGTTCTGGGCCTCAGTTCCCTATTTGAAAATGAGAGATGAAAACTAGAGGATCCCAAAGTCCTATCTGATGATTTTGAGAATGTCTCTTCTCAAGAGGTCTCATTTGAAGAGAGAAGCTTCCAAAATGGGCCTCAGCGATTTTGCTGAAAGGAGATCCTTTTTCCCAAAAGTTAAGTTTTCCACCATGTAAACTCCTACATATACCTTAAAGCCCAGCTCTAATGTCTCCTCTTCTGTGATGCATTAGCAAATTGAAACGTCCTGTTCAAAACTGAACTCTTGTTTGTTCTCCCAAATCTGTTCTCCCCGTCTTTAATAAATGACACCCTTCTGCTCTAGCCAGTTTGGCTCAGTGGATAGAGCACCGGCCCCTGGACTGAAGGGTTCGATTCCAGCCAAGGGCAGATACATTGGTTGCAGGCTTGATCCCCAGTACCCTGTGCGGGAGGCAACCAATTGATGTGTCTCTCTCATATCGATGTTTCTCTTTCTTTCTCTTTCCCTTCCACTCTCTCTGAAAAGCAATGACAAAATATCCTCGGGTGAGGAGTTTTAAAAATTAAATTTTAAAAAATAACACCCCTGTACCGAGCTCCTCAAGCCAGAAATCTGATAGTCATCCTTAACACATCCCTCTCCCTGGCCTCTAGCACCTACTCCATCGCTAAGCCCTATCAGTTCTCCTTCCTGAACATCTTAACCCACCTCCTTCAGTGCCCAGTGCCCTCCAGCGCAGGCCACCATCATCTTCACCCAGGTCTGATGGGAGGCCCCCCATTCCACTCCCGCCCCCTCCTTCCCTTGCTCTCTCTGTTTGACCATTTTATTCTCTATTCACATCTCTTAACTCTCTTCTTTACTCCCTCTTTGACTCTGTTAGAGTCTGAGTCATTTCTTTAGCTCATTTCACTAATTCTCTTTAGACGTGTCTAATCTGCTAGTATCCTGTCTACTGAGTTTTTCATCTCAATGGTTACATTTTTCATCCCCAGAAGTCCCATTTGTTTCTTTTTCAAATCTGCTTGGCCATTGGGGTCAGTATTTTCTTCCCTACTTTTTGTTTTAAGTCTATCTTTGATTTCTTTACACATTTTAAGCACAATTATTTCTATTCTGTGTATCATAATTCTAGCACCTTAGACTCTCAGAGAAACTAATTCTGCTATTTCTTGCTTCTGGTGCCTATTGCTCACAGTGACTTGTTTCCTTGTGTGTTTTGTAATTTTACCATGAGCTACTATTTGATGGATCCATTTGGGATGAGAACACGTTCCTCCAGGGAGGATGTTCATTCACTTCGCCAGGGTTCCCTGGAGCACTACCACCCTGAGACCACTTGTTACTTTTTTAGCATTTTCAGGACCCAAAATTTGTGTGAGGGCAACATTTATAATTTTCTAGGGAATCTTTTTGTTCCCACCAGAACTGTTGTCTCCCTTTGCCGGTGGGCAGATATTTTTTCTGGTCAATGCCCCTATTTGCTAAGGACACACACTTGGAAAGTCCCAGATTCATGTGGTGGGGGCAGGGAGGCTATGTTCCAACTCCTCGAACTGTGGCTGGGCGGGCTCAGGTCCTTATTTCCCATCCCTTGAGTGACAGTTAAAACTCAAGGTTCTGGATTTCTGGAATTTGTAAATACCCCCATGTTTCTGTGGTGTCATCTCATTTGCCAGCCTGATTTCAGCTCCCTCTTTATTGTTGGCTCGAGAGGATTTCTGTTACTTCTGTAGAAGCCCAGGAGTGTATTTTAAAGGATGTTTGTTGTAACCCATCGAGCCTCTAGGTAGTTTTGCTAAAGGAGAATGTTGGAAGTGTTACTTCCTCTAATCTGTTCCTCTCATAACAGCCAAAGTTATTATTTTTAAATCCAAATATGACCATGCCACACTTTTGGACTGGAACTCCTTCACTGCCTTCTCATTACTCTTAGGATAAAGACCAAGTTCCTTTCTATGGCCAAAAGGCCCCACTGGAAGCAGCCCCTGTCCCTCTCTTCATGAGGCAGGGACAGTGTCTTCCTTTGTGCCTGGGGCTTAGCCTGGTGTTCAGTCCACCCATCCCGGTTGATCAATCAGTGAAGAGCAGTGAGCGCTTATAGCCCCAGGTTTTTAATGGGCATTCTCTCCTTGAGCCCTCACTAAGCCCTGTGAAGTGGGGTTATTACCCCCACTACAGACGAGGAGTCTGAGGCACAGAGGAGAGGTGACTCGGCCAAGGCCGCATGCCCAAGCATGGGTTCTACCCCAAGTTTCCGCCTGAGCCTATGCCCACCAGCTCAGCCCCAGGGAGTCCAGTCTGTTGTCCTGGCTTATGTCCCAGAGCCAAGAGCCTGCCTCCCATTTCTGTGCAACGTGC